TGGCTGTGTGAACCTGGGCAAGTCACTTAACCCCAACTGCCTAAAAAAAAAAAAAAGGCATTTGATTATAGGTGCAACCTTAAAGGCTCTTCCCCGGGTTGCCTCTTTTGAATATAATAATAGCTATCATTTATATAGTACTTTAAGGTTTGAAAAGCACTTAAAAATATTATTTCCTTTGATTCTCACAGCAACCCCAGGAAGTAGGTGCTATTACTATGTCTGTTTTGTAGATGAGGAAACTTAGAGGTTGAGTGACTTGTCAGGGTCACATAGCTAGTAAGTGTCTGAGGCCAGATTTAAACTTAGGTCTTCCTGCCTCCAGGCTCAGCACTCTATTCACTAGTTGCCTCTGTATATGTAAAATTATACATGTACAACCACTCAGATAACTTCTTATCTGATTATCAATGTCAGCTGACTATAAACCAGGCATAAATGTGGCTATCATTATCTTTTCCACTATCATGGCAGAAGCCCCTTGAAGAGTCCAAATGGAGGAGGGATTCCTGATAAATCAATCATTAAGCATTTTTTAAACACTTGCTGTGTGCCAGGCTCATTGCTAGACTTTGGGAATATAAATACAGAAGTAAAATGGTTCTTGAAGTGAAATGGTTCTCTCTCAAAAAATTCACACTCTAGCTGAAGAAACAACTTGCATGTATATATGTTTATACAAAATGAATACAATGTAATTTTTAGGGGGAAGGCACTAGCAGCTGGAGGAAGTAAGAAAAGCTTCCTATAGAAGGTAGAACTTAAACTGAATCTTGAAAGGTACTACTTGAAAGGTTCCAAGAGGGGGAGGTGAGGAGAGATGGAGTTATAGGTATGACAGACAGTTAAGGCAAAGGCACAGAGATGGGAGTTGTCTGATGAACAGTAAAGGAATCCAGTTTGCTGGGATGTAGGGTGCATGTAGGAGAGTAATGTATAACAAAGCAGGAAAAATAGATTGCAGCCAGATTTTGAAGGATTTTAAATGCCAAAAATAAAAAAAGGAGTTTCTATTTAGTGCTCAAAGTAGCAAGGAGCCATTAGAATCTATTGAGCAAAGGAGTGATGTGATCAGGCTTAAAATTCAGAAAAATCACTTTGGCAGATTTGAGGAAAATGGATTAGAAAAGAAAGAGACTCAAAGCAGGTAGACCAATTAGGAGGCTATTATTGTAACCCAGGAGAGAGTTGATGAGGACTTGAACTAGGGTAGTAGCCATGTGAATCAAAAGGGACAGATTCTGGAAATGTTGAAGGTTGAATCAGTAAGACTTGGCAGCTCATTGGATTTGGAAAGTGAGGAGAGACTGAAGAATGGAGGATGATGCCAGTATTGTGAACTTTGATAACTGCAAGGATAGTGATTCCCCTTGACAGAAATACACTGGAAGAGGGTTGTGTTTGGGGGAAAAGATAACGAGTTCTGTTTTGGAAATACTGAGTTTGAGATGTTTACAAGACATCTTGTTTGAAATGTCCACTGTGCGGTTGGTGATGCAAGACTAGAGCGCAAGAGAGAGACAAGGACTGGATATGTAGATATGGGTATCATATACATGGAGATGGGGAAACTGATTAGGTCACCAAAGGAGAGATTTAGAGAATGAAGAGGACCAAGAATAAACTTTGGGGGATACTCACTGTGAGTGGAAATAGCATAGATGAAGAGTCAGCAAAGGAGACTGAGAATGATGTTCAGACAGGTAGAAGGAAAACTTAAAATGAACAATGTCCCAGTGTTGCCAAGAGGCCAACAAAGATGATGATTGGGAGGAGGCCGTTGGATTTGGAAATTAAGAGATCATTGGTAACTTTAGAGAGAGCAGTTTCAGTTGAATGATAAGTTTGGAAGCCAGATTACAGGAAGTTGATAAATGGGGTAGAGAAAAGTAGAGGCAATAAGAGTAAACACCTTTTTTTTCTAGAAGTTTGGCTGTGAAAAGAAGGAGAAAGATAAAATGATAGATAATTTGAGGGGATGGGAGGGCCAAGTAGGGTTTTTTTCAAGGTTGGGGAGAATTAAGCATGTTTGTAGGTAGCAGGAAAAGAACCAGGTGATAGGGTAAGAGTGAGGATTAGAGAGAGAGGTGGAAAAACAGTTGATGGGATCAAGCATACATGTACAAAGGTTAATGTTGGCATCTTCATCAGTTACTATAAGTATGTATGACTTATAGCAACATTTTCCAGGTGTTGCTATGTGCAAATGACATTGTACTGATTGCACAAAGCCCTATGATACTAACATAGCCTTTAGAGTGCTCTCCATGATCATGCAAAAGAATTTGGGCTAATTCTTTTAACAGGAAAAAAAATGACTAAAGTATGCATAATGTCCAGACTAAGACATGTAGATAGTTGGTTGGAAAGTCCCTTGGATTTGTCCATAAGTAACTATAGCCTGAATAAGTACTCCAGATGGACCTAGGTCCAGAATTGAAGGGAAGATAGTGGACTGGATTGCATTAGGGAAACTACACAGCACTTTCATTGATCCCAAATTGTTCACTGATAGAGAAGAATATCTTTTCAACACCAATGTTTTATCAGTGTATCATGGAATGCTACATTCTCCAGAAAATCCGAATTGGAGGTGACCCAAGGGCAGTAGAAAGATGTACCTTGGGAATAGGTAATTGAACAGCCTATTGCAAATGATAACTTGCACACAAGAAGAACTATCCAGGATATGTATAATCAGGAAAGGCAGGCTAGTCTTGTAGTGAGAGTGAAGGTTAACAGCCTGAGTGCCATACTGTAACACAAAGAATGTTAAAGGCCCTAGAGGAAGGCCTCCAATATATTGCATAGTTCCTCTATAGAGCATTTAGTTGGAGGACAGGAGGATAAGATGTGGATAATTGTGATATTTCCCATTAGGAATATCTATGTTGTTGAGATCATAAATCCGTTGAAGTATTATCATTGCTGTCTTTCCTTAAGTCTTTCCTTTATTTTTCCCATTAGGTTTCTTTTGATTTTCTGAGTTTCACATGGAATCATTTAATCATTTTTTATAATTTTATTTTCTAGTTGTATGCTCCTAATATTTAGGCATGCAATTGATTTTTGTGACTTTATTTTAACTTTGGTTACAAAATACTGATAGCTATTGTCATTCTGGGATTTGTCTCTGTTTTTGTTTACAGGGAATGAATGACTAGTGCTCCACTAGTTATGATAGCTTATGGTTTAAAATATGTCTGCTTAGAAAAATGTCCATATTGATGTGGGATTTTTTTTTGCTAGATGCTTTCTCATATATTAAAATCATGATTCTTACTATTTTTCTCATTAATGTGATGAATTATGTTGATACTCTTCATTCCTTCTAGCTTTACATATTTCCAAGGAGAAATAAACCCAACTTAGTCTCTATAGAGATTTGTTTCAGGTAATAGATTATATTTGTCAAGATCTTCTTTAAAAGTTCTATATCTAGGGCAGCTAGATGGCGCAGCTAGGTGGTGTGGTGGATAGAGCTCTGGCCTCGGGATCAGGAGGACCTGAGTTCAAATCCGGCTTCAGACACTTGACACTTACTAGCTGTGTGACCCTGGGTGAGTCACTTAACCCCAGTTGCCTCACTGAAAAGCAAAAACAAAAAAAAAATTCTGTATCTGTTCTCATAAATGTTCTATAACACATTGCTTATTTGTTGTAGTCCTCATCACATTTTGGAATTAAAACTATATTTGCCTGTTAAGAGGAATTTTTTCTATATTTTAGAACAGTTAATATAGGATAAGGATCATTTCTTTGAAAGTTTTGGGGGGCAGCTAGGTGGCGCAGTGGATAGAACACCAGCCCTGAAGTCAGTACGACCTGAGTTCAAATCCGGCCTCAGACCAAACACTTGACCCGTACTAGCTGTGTGACCTGGGGCAAGTCACTTAACCCCATTGCCTTACCAAAAAAAAAAAAAAAAGTTTTGGAAACATTCTTCAGTGAATACAGTGAGCCCAGGTACCTTTCTCATCCCTATCCCCACCCCACTCCACCAACCATATAATTCTTCAAAGAGTTTTCTTATTTCTCCCTGTTGAGACAGTTTGGGTATTTTATGGTTTTGTAGATACCTGTTTTTTCTTGATTATTCTGTTTGTTTTTGATCTGGCCCATAAGTGCATTGACGTGGGGAACTTATTCGAACAATGCAGATTGGCATCTGCTCTTCAGTGTATACTCTTAGAGACACTCTTATGTGAGTTGTGTAAGTCATTAAGAGGTTAAGTAACTTGCCCAGGGTCACACAGGCAGCAGTATCAGAGGCAGGACATTTTTATTATCTCCTTCTTTCTTGATTTTATATTTAAGTGACCTGATTTATCAGTTGTATTATTTCTCCATCTTCTATATTTCTCTTATGTCTTAGTAAAAATAAAAGACAAAAGACTATAAGAATAAATCTAATGTTTTCAACCAAATTTTCACACAGTCCAGCTTTATTTTCATTTTTAAAAGATTCTTATTTTTAACCCAAGTGGTAGAGGGAAAGTAGAACTTTCCCACTTCTATTCAAATGCCTCATTGTGGCATGGAAGGACCCTGGGTTCATGAGGTCTTTGCCATGTTCTTCCAAGCTGGAAAGGTTTTAAGTGAGGAACTAGTTAAAGACTATATATTTATCATCACCAGAGAGACCAGTGAGGGCTTGGGTCTCTTTATCAACAGCAACTCATGGAGAGGCACTGCAGTCTGAAGTGAGGGAATGCATACATATGCTGGTGAAATCACAGATTATTAAAGAATAAGCAGTTTTCAGTCATGTCTTTTCTACATTCCTTAATATTTTGATGTTCATTTCATCCATTTTGGGCATTGGGTTAAATTTTAAAAATCACTCTAGGTTCACAGGACAAAGATTAAAAAACAGCCACCTTATATTTCTGAAAGCACACTTTTACTAAATAAGCAAGTTTGCAAAAAACACCTACAAATGCTGTCCAGTATTTTTGTCCTAAGGCAAATGGAAATTAACATACTTACTCTCTGTTAAGGTATTGATTGGCAGGTCCGACCACCTTTGTTAGGACTTCCTGCCCTTGAAAAGGTCCCTCACAACAAGGAGTCCCATTTTAACACTTCTATAGCCAACTTGGTCATCCTGCGTGGTAAAGATGTGCACAGTGCAGACTTAGGTAAGCAAAAATCATGGTGAAAATGAAGTACTTCTGGTAAAGACGATGAATATAAACCAACCCAAAGCTTTTTTTGGGGTGGGGGTGGTAACCAGGCTGGAGGGATGGAGGAACAGGAAAGTAACCAGTGTTTGTTTCTGTGGCACAGTGGACTTAGTGCATTTAGCTCAAAGTTTTCTGAAGATTTGGCCTTATAGTGCGGCTACTGCTGTTGGCTGTCAGCTCCCTGGCAGGTTTCTTGTTTCAGTTCTGATTTGATGAGTTCAGCAGTAGTAAATTGGCCAGTCCATGCACTTATATAAAAGAGCCAAGCAAGCTCAGTAATAAGCCTTCTATAAAAAAAAAAAAAGGAGGGGGTGGGGAGGTCACTTAAGTACAACACAGTTGTGTACTTTCCTATTACTCTTCATATTGACTTAAGAATAAATGAGAGAATTTTTGGTACATATAAAACTGATTAGAAAAGAGAAGATTATTAAATGATCTTGAAAATTAAGAAATACTCATTGGGCAGCTAGGTGGTGCAGTGGATAGAGGACTGGCCCTGTTGTCAGGAGGACCCAAGTTCAAATTTGGCCTCAGACACTTCCTAGCTGTGTGACCCTGGGCAAGTCACTTAACCCTGAATGCCTTAAAAAAGGAAAGAAAGAGAATTTTTTAAGAAATAATGCCTGAGAGAATAACTTGTGCTATTTCCTCCAAAGGGGGTTTTAAAGATCCAGCCTTATATACCTCGTGGCTCCAGCCTAGTGATGCCTTCAGCGAATGGAGAACACATCGAGCCTTTAACAAATATGAGAAATCGGCCGCTTTGGTCAGCAATAGTCAATTTTTACTAAAACCACTTGATACCGTCATAGGCAAAGCCTGGAACATGTTTGCTTCAAAGTAAGTAAAATAAACTTAAAGTAACATATTGGCAACTTAATTACAGCCTGCGATTCTTTGTCACTAGTAATCACAATGTGTAGTCTATGTGTTTTTGAAGGTCACTAGTCATACCCACGTACACCCAAGGATTTCTGAAGGTTAGCTGTGTCACCACTACCTGGTGGCGGAAGAACATCTTTAGGTAGTGAATGGCAGGACTAGTACACTAAAACATGGAGACTCATAGAGCTAAAGTTAACCCCTAAATCCTCTCTTCATCCTGCCGTGGAAAGGCCATACACCATTCCTTTTCGCATGTTGCCATTTCTGTGACTTCTTTACAGTTACCCTGTATCATTTTAGCCTAATGTCACCCAAGTCAAAAAAAGGTCCTAGATTATGGAGCATGTTTGGGGGTTTTGTTTTTTCTTGTCCTGGCCCCCATACCTCAGTAGTTGGAGTTCTCAATTTTTACCAGTAAGGAGGGTGGATGTGGGTGTTTGTAGGTTATATCCATAGTCCAAAATGCTATCCTTCAGGCATTTGGAGACTCATAAACACTATGTAGACTTTAAGTTATAGCCATCAATTTCATGGATATATGTGTGTGTGTGTGTGTGTTCAGGGTGTTTGTGTCAGTAAAAAGAAAAATAATGAAAATTGTATGAAGGCTCTACTTAAAAATGAAACCAGAGAAAAACAAGTCCCTCTTTTTATTTGTAACTGTGGTTGAAATTGTATAGGTAGGAAGACTGGATAAACAGATTGTTGGTCTTTCATTTAAATCAGATAGTATTTGATTTCTTCTACACCATGTTTTTCTTTTTCTTTCAAGGATATCATCCAAATGTGAAAAGAAACTTAGTGACTTTTCCACCTTCCCCAACCCATCAACCTCCCAAGTTCCAAAATGATTGGCAAATATAAAATACAACTAGCTTTTCTTAAGCACTTATTATATCTGTTTAGTATAAGTATACCTTGTTTTCATGTCATAACTCTGTTCCTGAAAAACTATATGTGAATTGAATATTTATTTTCAAAATACTTGGAAAGCTTGCTATTGAAAGGTGTCTCTTTAACATTAATAATGCTAATCTCTAATTTCCTTTTCTTATCTAAATTCATTTAACAGTCATTGATAGCCTGTGGCACATGCCTGGCTGCCCCTTCCATACCTGCCTCCTCTTTAGGGGAAGAAGCGACTGTTGGTAAAATAGATAGAATGCTGAGCTTTGAGTCAGGAAGACCTGAGTTCAAATCCAGTTTCAAATACTAACTAGCTGTGTGACTTTGGACAAGACACTTAACCTTTTTCTGCCTCAGTTTCCTTACCTGTAAAACGGGATTATATGCTTACTTCCTTTCCTTCCTTCTAGTTGGCATTGTCACATTCTTCTGGAGTGCTAAGACTTTGGCCTACAACTTTGCAATTCCTAATGTTCAGAAGGAAAAAAAAGCACACATTATAACCCAATTTTGAATTATAATGTGCTCAAATTCTATATTTAACATATTTTTTCCCATTTTTCTACCAGAGCCTATGTTCACCAGTATACAAAGTTTGGAATTGAAGAGGAGGATTTTTTAGACAGCTTCACAGTATTGGAACAGGTTGTTGCCAGTTACTGTAACCTTTGATCTCAAAGTAAATGGACTTTCAGTGGAAGAAAGTATCTCTGAAGACCTCTGGATTGAAATATTTATAAACCATGTTCTCTATCATGTTTCAAAATCCTATTTTTCTGAAGAATCAGATTAGAATTCAGATTGTATTCTGTAAGTAGGGGAAAGTAGGAACCTTTTTACCAAAGAAAAACTTTTTTTCCAATAAAAACATCTCCTTTTTGATGAATTACTTATTACTTTAAATGGAAAATTGGTGCTTTTATAAAATACCTTGGTGAAGAATTGTCACAGTGGGTGCTATTATAAATAGTACTTTGATTCTAAAAATTACTTGGAAAAAGTATATTCTATCTTTGTTCACAATTAAAGTAATCTCTTTCAACTACTATCTTGTCCTGAAACCTTTACTATTTAGTCAAAAACATTTACTAAACCTGAACCTGCCTAATGACAATACTGGCTATTTAATTATGCTTAAACTGGAATTCTAGAATGGAGAGGTAATCTCTTGAGTTAATAAATACTCTATGCCACAGGAGGGCACTGTTGTCCAACGCCTTAATCAAATATCTGCAGGCTTACTTAAATTTTTCACGTTAAGTGGATCAGATTAAAACTTGTGTTTCAAAATAAATTTTAGAATTATAGCAACTGAATATTAACCTAAAATATCAAAAGGCAATGGGTGACTGCTTCCTTTATTTTCACAGGGCTTTATTTTTTCTTAAAAGCTTACTAGTTATTGCAGAATCTGATTGAGTCTTTTCAGTTTTCATTATAAAATCCCCCTTTGATAACCATTGTAAGAGTATTTGAGTGGGGGGGAGAGGGTCCAAAACAATTTTAATTTAGTCTAGTCAGTGCTTTGAAATTTATATTGACATATTAGACTAAAATATTGTTTATACTCTCTCTACACACACACACATACACACACACACATGTACACACATGCACACGCGCGCACACACACACACACACACCCCCCCAATGCCTCGTATAAAACCTTATTTTCCTTTCAAAGAGATATTGTTTTAGGGGAGTGGCCTATGTTTTTATGAATACAGTAGATACTTCAGTCAAATGTCAGATTGCTGTAGATAGAAACAGACTTTGCATTTAAATAGAAGTCAGGAACTGACTTTTTTTCCCTCTCTACCAAAGTGTCAGTAAAATAACCATTTGCCATTTAATTGGGGGAAATATTGTATCTGAGTAAACATAAGGTAATGGAAAAAACAGAACAGATCAGTATTAAATAGTTGAAGAAGATAAAGCAGACTTGAAAACTAGCAGCTGTCTTGGAAAGGGAATGATACATCTAAAAAGCACATTATATATGGTACATTGAGAAATGTACAGTGAAACCCACATAGGAAAATTCACCCTTTCTGCCAAATCTACCAGTAGCCACTTTTTATTTGACTAAATGACAGTATACTGTTTGACTAGTTTCTTTCTTTTCTTTCCATATGGAAACAATTACCTTTTTTGCTGTTTTTCTTATCAACTGTTGCTATGATTAAAAATATTGAACTATATCTTATTTCTAAAGAATGCAAAGAGTGGTCTGTACAACTGCTAATTTTTAAAAGACACACCCCACGGCTGCATTGAGTTAACGTCGGTGTATTTTAAGCTTCGTTTTGCAAGACTTAAAATCTAATTTTTTTTAAAATGACAGTTAAGCAGTGAAGAGGCTCAAAAACACAAAATAACTTCCCAAACTAAATCAATGTTAATGAATGTCTACACTTATCTTCTTCAGCCTGGAATTAACTGATCTCTGACAAAAGGCAAACTCAAAAAAAAACTTTAGGTGACATTGACATTATTTGGTGTTTATGTAAGGTATAGCTAGGGACTTGATACACACACTTTCACATACAGAAAATGGATCTTACAGTTATACTTGGAAAATAGGGCTGGTATTAATATGTACATTTTCTTTTCCATCATTAATACATTAATTCCAACTTTAACAAAAGACTTAACTGTAGTTTGGTGATTTGAACTTGTGTGTCTTAGGGAGAGGCCAAGTTAAGTTTTAGAATTTAACTTTAGGCAAAGTTCTCTACTTATATAAAGATGACTTGGAGAGTATTAAATTTACCATCTTCTATATTCCAGAACTGCTTTATTCTTTATGTATAATAGCCGAGAGATTTGCTGGTCTCTGATATACTCAATTAGGAAATAAGGTGAAATGTCATCTTCTACCTTTAGAATGTTATTGTAGAGCTATAATTGTTAATTTAAAAAAAAAAAAAAACTTGGGGCAGCTAGGTAGCACAGTGGACAGAGCACCGGCTCTGGAGTCAGGAGGACCTGAGTTCAAATTCGGCCTCAGACACGTAACACATAATAGCTGTGTGACCCTGGGCAAGTCACTTAACCCCGATTGCCTCACCAAAAAAAAAAAAAAAAACTTAAGGAAATCAGGGCTAGAGCACAAAGAATTGATCTCCCTCAAGCAATTCAATTTGATCTTTGTACATAAAATAATAAATCTGTTATGAATCAGGGGATTCTAAAGAAATATGGAAATGATATTGTTTAAATCCCTATTCAGCTTTAACATTGTCATAGAAAAACTCAAATATGAGGTAAATTCTAAAATACTCTTTCCCAAGTTACTGCCTCAAACTTATTTATCTAAAGATTTTCACCATTCTGCCCCAGCCTGACTGGTTCTGATTTCTAGTGTTCCTAATACCTCTAATTGAAATGCACAGTGTTTCTACCTAAATCAATCCCACTTTTATGCATTTTTTACACTATCCTGCCTGCCAGGAATAATCTGCCCCATTATGACTTCTGACAATAGTAAGTATCAAGTTTACTTATAATGTATGGCACCCCAGTCCATGTTTTGTAATTATTCAACTTGCCCAAAGTATACTCAATTTTTCCTCAAGTAAGACCCCTTCCAGCTGTATGATTCCATGCTGTGGGTCTCATCTATGCATCATACATCACATGCATCTTAAGAGCTGAATTATGATAACTTTTTTCTTCCCAAATCTAAAATTTACTAAGAACCTTTTTTCCATATAAAGATGACTATGAATAATCAAAATTAAGGGATTGATTTGAATTATTTCCGGTAAGATCACAAATGAGAAGGTGGCTGATTTTGTTTTCAATTTACATCTGGACTATAGACCATTTCTGTTTCATCTCCTGTTTAAACTCAGTCCTGACCACCATATTTATCACACTTGAACTTCTGTAAAAATCTGCCTTTAGACTTTCTCCACGTATTCATGTCTACTTTTTCCTCTGTTAATCCAAGCTTAAGCAGCCATTGTCTTTTTTTTTTTTTTTTTTTTTTGGCAGTTGGGGTTTATTAACTTGCCCAGGGTCATTCAGCTAGTAAATGTTAAGTGTTTGGTCTGAGGCCATATTTGAACTCAGGTCCTCCCTAGTGCTCTATCCACTGCACCACCTAGCTGCCCCAGCCATTGTCTTTCTTCTGGCACAAGGGATCCTATCTGGCTTACCGATGAAATTGGGATTTCAGTCATACACAGGTCTGTTTTAGGAAAGAATTTCACTTACAGGGTAGTTAGTGTTCAATTCCCCAAAATATATTTGAAATTACAAGGATGTGGGATAAAAGATTTATTATTTTTAAGTGCTCTTCAATTCTGTAATTTCTTAGATGATGCAATAGTAACCTTATTTATTATGGCTATTACAGACTGAATCAGAACTTTTCCAACAGCAGGAAGGATTGCACAAGAGGTTAAAACAAACAATGCAAATGTTTCTAGTTTCTAGGGAACTCAGTACAGAAGACAGTATGGCCTCCAAGATATGGAAAAGAGACAGAATAAAGAGGGGAAAGCCTGATTCTTTCAGAGAGCCAGTGAGGCAATAAGATAACAACAGAACTGCTCATGACTAAAGAGGATTCCGGGAACAGACTGCTAGTTTTTTTAATCATACCAGGAATTTAGGACACTTATTAGGTTGTTTTTTTTTCTTCAAATGTTGTTTTCTCAAGAAGGAAACTGTGAGCTGGATTGCTTTCAGCAACTAGTAAGTTATCCACTGATCCCTATTATGTCAAAGTAATACCTCCAGTAAAATCTAAACTCTTTGGGCGACTATTTTGTCTTCATATCTGCTACACCAAACACACTGTAGATAATTAATAAATGTTTGTTGAATTGAACTGAATCAAATGGACTCTTGCCTGTGGTGGAGCAAACGATACCAAATGACCTTTCCCTATTTTAATTTATCTAAAGTTCTATGGCAAGTAAACAAAGATTCTAAGTGTTTGGGGGCAAGGTTTTGGGAATTATTGAGTCTGTGACCAGACAAAGCAGTCTGTCTCTACTAGAAGACAGGTCATAGCAACATAATATTAGAAGACATGCCATAAAGCAAAATATGGGTATTTCCTTCATGAAGGGATAAGTCAGATTTATGTGGTCAGTGAGAATGAGACAGGATGTAAGTTCCAAAGAATGAATAACTAATGAGCTGTTTGAAATGATAGAAGCAAATGACAAAGCATGAGTGTTAGGAGCACAATGAAACCAACCAAAGATCCCACGTGGGCAAAGCAGAATACCCTTATGTATTTAGTTAAAGTCTGAGAAGACAACATTGGATCCATGATTTCATTGTGTCCGTTTTCTGGTGTGACTGTAACTCAATCACACCACCTCATCTTGTGCTGTTCCTGTATGTATTTTCCATAAGCCTTCCAAAGAAATTTTACCCAATGTGCTGGACATTGAGTAGGTCCCAGTGCAGCACCTTTGGCTAACCATTTGTTACCCCCTCATTTCTACCATATAGTTAGCCCACCTCCTTTTCTGGACATACATTTTTTTCTTTACAATATCTAGCTCTGAAACCTAGGGATCTGAAAATACAGAAATGAAATTACACAAGGCTTGATCTCAAATGTAAATAACAAAATTTGTAGTAAAAAAAAACACCACTAAGTACCCCTATCCTCCAAAACAGGCCTGAAGGATAATCAGTCCACATTTTTAAAAAGGGGGAGGGGCAGCATGAACCTCTGATAAACTCCCTTGAGGCCACCTCTGCCCAAGAACCCCCAGGACCTTAGAGCCTCAGGCACTACCATTAGTACCTGGAGCTGTGCTCAGTTCAAGGTGCAAAGAAATAGGGTAAGTAAGCAGGAAGAAGGTAAGAAGGGCAAAGAGTTTCATTTTGGTCCAGTAGAACCAAAAGGTTCTGGATAAAACCTCAAAGAACACCCCACCCACTCTAGAGTCAAGAGTCACAGAAGATAGAAAAGCAGAGACTTAACTGTGGAGTATTGTCTTCAAAGAGTTTGAATGGACTAGGAAGAAAAATACAACTTAAAATGACATATCTGAAAAGTAAGAGAAATACGTA